GGAAATGAGTCCTGTTTGTTCGCATTCTCATTCATATCAATAGTTGCTCATTTGGCATAGTAAGTAACATTCATGCTGCAATTGAGTTCTTGTTTTCTTTGAGCCAATGTCATCTGACTAATTGTGTATAGGAAGATTTTGACAACATGGCTTTTGAATGCCACCAAATAGGATGATTCCTCATTTCGTAACACCAACTGTCAAAAATGGTAAAGAAAGCAAGATGGTCTGGGGGTTTTGTTGGATCCAGTGTCAGCAACTTGCACAGAGTGAGTGGCACTGTTAACCAAAAAGACATGCACCGCATTTTGCAGTGCCATTGAATACTTTCTGGCATAGTTAATCCAGAGTTCATCCTACAACAAAATAATGACCCAAAACATACCTCAAGGCTATGGCAGGACTGTCTCAGAAGATTTGAAAACCTCAAATCATGAAATGGACAGTAGAGTCTTCAGACTTAAACCTCATGGAGCTGGATGAACTGGATAGAAGGGTGAAAGCAAAGCAACCTAAAAATGCAACACATTTGACATCTGCAACAGTGAGAGTCAGTTTGACCCAACCAATAATTTGGATTAGATTTTGTTAAACAATGATCACTTGATTTCATGTATGTATTTATGGCATATTTTTATAAAAACTATTTTTGCAAACCAATTTCCCATTTGGGATAATAAACCGGCACTGAACTGAAGAACTAAACTCGTATATATTAACAAGAGATATTAAAAATGGCACTTTTTGGACAATATGGCCTCTAGTCTAGTAGGTAGATGGCTTCATTCCCTCATGACCTCCTGCCGCTGTGTCTTCGAGTTGACGCTAAATCTAGTAGTACTTCTCCAAGAGGGACCAAAATGAATCACTTTGAATTACTCTTCAAGTAATTGCGGAGAAGAGATAAAAGGTTGAAATAGACGTTGAAGGAGAAAGAGAGATGATCTGGCTAAGCAAATGGGATTTCTGCCCCCTACATGTCCAAAGACTGTAGAGCTAAAATAACAGCATAACTTTTATTAACTATATGACATCCATATGATATCCATAAGTCATATTGAGTAATACTACTTACCCTCTTTGTGCCAAATCCTCTTTTATTTGCTATGATGGACTGGAGGACCAGCAGCATTGAGGGTAAAAAAAAGGAAGCGGAGGCTTTGGTGTGGTGGAGGATGCGGGGGTGTTTATGAACGTGTCATTTATGATGGCACCCTCATGTCTGGAGATTAAAGCAGTAAGTAGTCTGAGTGGCAGACACTTTGTGTTTTGTATTAGGAAGAGGAAGGAGAGATGTGAGGTGGCTTTTGAATTGATATGGTCGACTGTCCTTTGTGACAGTGCAGTCTGGTCTGGTGTCCTTCTTAGTGTGGTTTCGAGGTTGGGGTGGCATGGGTAACATGCCACTTTCATAATAACTGTCTTTTCATCTCTTTCTCTGCTTGTCGTCATGTACCATTTTGGGCTGTAGGGCCTTAAGTTGTAACTTTTGTCCTGAGAGTGGATGCTCATTCACAAGAAAATAGTTCAAGCTCTGAATATGACAATAATACTTGGAGAAAGCTAACTATCATCTACATTTAATTGGCTGTCAATGGAAAAAGATGCTTTTTGCACCTATAATGGTGAAATTATGTCTACAATGGGGGGCTATCTGGACCATGCTAACCAGCCAAACTCTGACTCCTTGAGTACTGTTTTACTTATCATGTAGTAGTTTGGATCAATGTTGTGGTTGCGGTTGAGCTCATCTGAGACCTGAGTTGAGTCCATGACAAGATCAAGACCGTGAAAATATGATCTTGGACTCAGACACGAGACCTCACCAAAGGTGAAAATCCAAGCTTGTGTTTGAATATTTGAGTTATTTATCTCAAATGAACTAGAAATTTTTCCTTTAAAAAAGTTAATTTTTGGGGCATGACTCTGTGGATTAGGAAAAGGACATGACATTACAGATATTTTATTTTATTTTATTTTTTATATAAGAGACATTTCTAGTATGATGTCAAACACAGCCATTAAGCAATCAATAATCAAAATAATTATAGAGTGAACACACAGTTCTTGTTTTATGAATACCTATATTTACCCACTGTAAAACTATAAACTTCTCTTTAAACAACATTATTTTATAATGCAAATTGCTCTATGACATTGACAATTAACTGGCAAAGTTTTAACTGGCAAAGAATGTTTTATGTTTTGTAAAAATGACCTGTTGTAATAGACAGCTAGTTCATAGACAATAAGGAGCAAGCAGTTTATAATGGTAATGCTTATAAGCTTATTAAAGCTTATAAGTTTTTGTATGTACAGGTACTGAATATTATTTGCAAATTTGAGGTGTAGACTGAGTATGTGTGTTAGATAAATAAGTGTATGAGTGAATAAATAGTGTGTGTTCCACAGTTATTGTTAAGAGTTCATGAGATGGATGGCCTGAGGGAAGAAACTGTTCCTGTGTCTGGTCATTCTGGTGCTCAGTGCTCTGTAGCGTCGACCAGATGGCAACAGTTCAAAGAGGGAGTGTGCTGGATGTGAGGGGTCCAGAGTGATTTTGCCAGTCCTTTTGCTCACTCTGGATAAGTAAAGTTCTTGGAGAGAAGGGAGGGTTGTAGCAATGATTCGCTCAGCAGTCTGGACTACCCTCTGTAGTCTTCTGAGGTCAGATTTGGTAGCTGAGCTGAACCAGACAGTTATTGAAGTGCAGAGGATGGATTCAATGATAGCAGAGTAGAACTGTTTCAGCAGCTCCTGTGGCAGGTTGAACTTCCTCAGCTGGCGAAGGCAATACAACCTCTGCTGGGACTTTTTCAGTCAATGTGAGTGTTCCACTTCAGGTCCTGAGAGATTGTGGTGCCCAGGAACCTGAATGACTCCACTGCAGTCACAGTGCTGTCCATGATGGTGAGTGGGGGGAGTGCAGGGGGGTTTCTCCTGAAGTCCACGGTCATCTCCACAGTTTTGAGCGTGTTGAGCTCCAGGTTGTTGAGACTGCACCAGACAGCCAACTGCTCGACCTCCTGTCTGTAAGCAGACTCATCACCGTCCTGAATGAGGCCGATGAGTGTGGTGTCGTCTGCAAACTTCAGGAGCTTGACAGAGGGGTCTTTAGACGTGCAGTCGTTGGTGTAGAGGGAGAAGAGCAGTGGGGAGAGAACACAACCCTGAGGAGCTCCAGTGCTGTTATACGGGTGCTGGATGTGTATTTTCCCAGCCTCACTAGCTGCTGCCTGTCTGTCAGGAAGCTGTTGATCCATTGACAGACGGAGGTGGGCACAGAGAGCTGAGATAGTTTGGGCAGGAGGAGGTTTGGGATGATAGTGTTAAAGACCGAGCTGAAGTCCACGAACAGGATCCTCACATAAGTCCCTGGTCTGTCTAGATGTTGCAGAACATAATGCAGTCCCATGTTAACTGCATCGTCCACAGACCTGTTTGATCTGTAGGCAAACTGAAGAGGATCCAGCAAGGGTCCAGTGATGTCCTTCAGGTGGGCCAGCACCAGTTTTTCAAAAGACTTCATGACCACAGACGTTAGAGCCACAGGTCTGTAGTTATTAAGTCCCGTAATTTTAGTTTCTTTGGGACGGGGATGATGGTGGAGCGTTTGAAGCATGAAGGGACTGTTTGTCCGTTTTGTTGGGTAGAGAGCAGAGATTTGCCAGATGGATGCTTGGCAATGGCGTTCTGAATCTGCGCTGCCTGAGCTTCACGAGCGTGCCGGCTCACTTCCCCCGTCTGCGCATCCTGAAGCGAGTGATCAGCGCCGCAGCTCTCCCGACAGCAATGTCCAGCAAAACATCAGAATAATCAAAAACCGGTGAAATATTGGTTGGTGTGTACTTCCGAATGTCCAGCAATTCGTCTCTGGTGAAACTGATTGCAGGGATATAACTAAAGACAGGACAGACTAACAAAAACTTAAAAACAACTGCGGAGCACGCCACGGAGGCAGCCATCAGCATCGGCACCATCTTACATCTTACATCTTACAAAAAAATATATGTGGCCTTACGGCGCGAGCTTAGCTATGCTGCTCTGTGATTTGCCACAAATAGATGACTTCATTTTACACTCCATTACACAGTAAACAGGACAGTCAACTGTGACAGTGCGAAGACAGATGCACTAGTATCCTTCTGTGTAAAGCTGTTCTAGGTCAGCTTCTAGCCTATTTGTGTCATAGTAGCACACCACTAAGTATAATCTGCAACAAGATTATATACATTGTATTCAATTCACTAAAACTGAATATGATCATTTTGCTCCGGGTGTGTGTTCATTACTCACTGCTGTGTGTGTACACTTGGATAGGTTAAACGCAGAACACAATTTCCGAGTATGGGCACCATGCTACACGTCACGTTACTACAATTTATTATTATTTTTATTATTGTATATGGAGCTGGTTATGTGAAACAAACATGAAAATGTATTAGTTTACAAATCATGCTCTACGGTAAAAGTGTTTTGAGGTCTTGTGCAAGGAATCATAAAGGAATAAAAGTTGTTAATGTTTTACAGCCACTAGTGTTCATTTCAAAGGTATGTGTTTGTGGCCATGCAAATATGCAGGTAGCTGCATACCCTTTAGCACCTTGACAATATATCACACATTTTCCATGTCTGACAGTATTTTTACACTATTTTCTTGTTGAGGATTGAGGTATTGGCAAAAGTTCTGGTAGTTCAGTCCTTCACTACTTTTGTAATGACCCACTTTCATTCTACTTATGACGCTTTTCCACTGTTCGGTTCGGTACGGCACAACTATAATGATCAGTCTATAATCCCACCGACTTTGACGTGGTACTATACTGCAGTGGAAAAGTAAACTAAAATAAAGCAAAATAAAGCGAGCTGAGATGAGCCGAGTCGTGCCGAGCCGAGTCGTACCACACAGTGGAAAAGCGCCATTAATAACAAGCAAGATCTAACTTGGAAAACAATGCTTATTCTGTAGCCTGACCATTTCCCTATGCCTTTTCTTACAGGAACCAGACAGTTCTACACCAGTTTTGCTGTCCTGCTCCAGACGCCCCTGAGTCTGACTCTCAGGCCTGTGTACCCAGGTAGGGGGGGGTTTGTTGGTGCCTTCTGACCAAAAACTCCATTGCCACAGTAAAGACTGTTTCTGATGGTGCTAGGCAACACAACTGCCCTAGTTATACCCGTCTTGAAGTGGTTGTGAGTCTTTTCATGCCTTGTCTCCCCACAGTAAATTCAGTCTTCATTATCACAGAAAGCTGTGACCTTGACAGAGCAAAAACTGATATGATTTCCCTTTAAATCAGGCGAAAAGAAAAATGTGTATCTAATGTTTAACTGCCATGTTTGTCGGTAGGCATAAGTTCCGCTCAGCTGACTTAGCTAGAGGCTCAAAAAACCTTGGTCAGAGTAATTCCCTATTCTGTTAGCACAACCATGTTTACCCAAGTATCACAATAAGTATCTTGCTCTGTGCTCAAAAAATGCCCAAATCAATCAACTAGAGATCCCAATCTCTGACCTTTTTAGTCACTTGAAATGTTTTCAAAAAGGCTACAAAATTAAGAGCAACACACAAAAACAACTGCAAGATGATCTTGCATTGGAACTAATTATACAAATATACAAAAGTAAGTTGCTGTAATTTGTAAGTTTCCAAAGACAAGGAATCTTTTTTGTTCACACTAAACAAAAGTGCGGTATAAAGCAGCCCATAACGGCCAATATTTTTTGATGTTGCTTTTATGTAAACACATCTGCCAACGGATAATGTAAATGTTAAAAGTCCCCATGAAATTAAATAAAAAAAACACGTAGTGCACTATATAGGGGACAGGGAACGATTCAAACAGTGCAAATATGCTTTCCATTGAGGAAAAAAAGAAGTCTGGTTTCGAGCTGTGTCATGCTAACCACCACACCGCACACACACTCTGCTCCGGTCCAGAGACACGATAGCAAGGAGCGGATCACATGCGCGAGTCGGCGCAGACCACAAAATGTATCGGAGCTATTTGAATTCTACACAGAATGCTATATTTTATAGCAATATGGATGAGATTGTGGCTGGCATACCCTGTCAAAAGTGGCTTTACGGAGCTCAACGGCTCTGAACGGCTATAGCTCAAGCTGTGATATAAACAAACGCTATTAGCTATTTTAAAAAGGGGCGGGGCTGCTTGATATGTCCCGCCCTGTCTTCCTGTTTCAGTTAAAATGACGTCAAGACATAGAGTAACGCTGCGTGTTTCTAAGCATTTCAGGAGACCTTTAAGTTAACCAGTGAGGCGACAGTGGGCAAAAAACAGACGGTTTTTGACAAACCGTCTTGTCACTCATAGCTATTTGCATATATTTAGAACAAAAACAAGTATAAAATAAGTGTAGACACAGTTATGGTGTGTCGCATGAACCTTTATGTATTCAGCATTGATTGAAGAATTAAAACCATTGCCAGATTAATCATTATTTGCCTATTTACGTATCAGCTGATTATATAGCACATCAGGGCCCGTATTCACAAAACATCTTAAGGCTAAAAGTAGCTCATAACTCACCGATTTAGGAGAAAATCTTAAAAATAATGGGCATGTCAATACTAAATTTAGGACTCCTAAATTTTTGCTCTAAGAGTTTTTCACAAAGCGTTTTAGCACTAAAACTATCTCCTAAATTTGTGAAATGTTAGGAGTAGTGAAGACGACTCCTAAGTCACTAAGACCAAACCACAAACTATCCTCCGTGCTGAAGAAAAAAAACAATACAAACCATCACAGAAATTCTAATGGTTTCCACTACAAATACCATTACAAACATTAAAAACCATCAACTTTTAACCATTAAAACCAATAAATAATGTTTTCCTGTAGTGTGTTTTGGGACATAATCCATTAGGATTTAGTGGTTTTAACAAGCAACCTATAGAAGGTGACCAATTACCAGTAGAAACTAATACAGGGTCCATTACGGTTTCCATTAAAACCAATACAATTCCCATGATAACTAGTAAAAATATTACAAATTCTGTGATGGTTTGTATTGTTTTTTCAGAAGGGATAAAATAGCTGTTGCTGGCAATCTGCCTCGGAACATAAACATTTTAGAAACACTCTGCATTTATTTGCATACGTTTCCCACGCATCTTTTTTTTTTCGTTTTGAAGGATATCCCAACTCCCAATTTTCCTCTGATTATATCCTTGTTTTCAGTAACATGTTGGGCAAGAAGTAACAGCTGTTCTTGCCTCCAGTTTGGTTTTCTTTTACGTTTGCATGTCTTACTATCAGCCATGATTATTCTACTCTGTTAATTAAAAGGCTGTTTATATGCATATCCGCTAAATGTTTACGAGAAGCACACGTCAATTAGCTAAACATATACTTGTTTAATTAGTGACACTTTAAACTATTTTATTTTTTTGAATGTGGCAAAATAATATCACGCTCTACAATATTTCTATGAATAAATCTCTGACAGAGACTATCAGCCAATCACTGTGTGCATAGTTACAAGTTTTTGTGATTTTAAAATGTAAGACAGTACCCAGATTTGAAGACTACAGTAAGATTTAACTTCTACTGTTAATAAGATGTTGGTAGGCTACTATAGATAGATAGCCTAAATGTCCTAATTCAGATGGGCTACCTGTTTTACAAAAATGTAAATAGGAAAAATATGCAATATGATAATAATTAAAGACAAAATGTGTTTTACTGAGAAAAAACAAGATTTGGTTTTTAAAAAGCCTTTTTCCAAAATGTACCATCTGGAAAAAGGGGGGTTGTCTTATATTTGGGCCAATACAGGAAATAACAACTTGGCATTTAACAGCATCTTCAAACATGACTCATTCAGAATTTAGAGTCAGAGCTGTTTGTTTAATTATATGTTGGACTTGATTAAAATGATTATATTTATGATACAACATGCATTGCTGGGCAGACAATTTTTTTAATTTTTTAATTAATTAATTAATTTTTTAGAATTTAATTGAATTATCTTTATTGATAATTCGACAGTGAGGTCTCGTTACTTAATGCATTAACTAACAATGTGCAGTACATTTATTACAGTATTTATTAATTTTTGTTACTGTTTAATAAAATAATTAAAAAAAATTGTTCATTGTTAGTTCAAGTCCATTAAATTATGTTAGCAGATAAACGTTTGATTTTAATGATGTATTAGTGAATGTTGATGTTAACAATAACTTTTTTATTTTACTAATAATACTAATAAAAAGCTAAGATTAATTAATGCTTTACAAGTTTTTTTTTTCATTTATCATGTTAACTATTGTCATTAACTAATGATAACTAATGTAACCGTATTACTATTAATAGACCATATTAAACAGTTACTCGTCTGTTTAACCATGAACTACCAAAACATCACTACCACACCAGCTCTTGGTTGTGTTTCAATTGCCAATTTTAAATAGAACATAACATAGAAGAAGTCAAAACAAGAAAATGTTGTTGAAATGGGAGGCTGTGTCAGCCTATTTTAAAATAATTTAACAAAAATAATAAAAAAATAAAAAGGTAGCTAAACCCGATTACTAAATCTTAATTCTGTAATAATTCAAAATAAAGAGACGGTTCCTGCAGAAAGATTGCTGAATGTCCAATAAAACCGAATTCAAGGACATCTCGGGTACAGAGAAGCAAACCACTTCAGACAGGGCAGTGACGGCAGTACTTGAGTTGCTGGTTGTTTGCTTTGAGAGAAAATGAGTTCTCGTTTTCTGTTGTCTGTCACTTTTGACTGTTTGTCAATGAGTCTGTATTCACGTTTCTCTCCTCATCACATCGCTGTGCTCAGAAGCACCAAATCATTCATGCCATCTTCTGCACACTCATAAGTCACCATTTCATCACATGTGTTATAACGTTGTATTTACTATGTAATAACAGCACTATTGTATGATATAAAACAGAATAACCTTTTTAAGGATTCTCTCATTAGACTTCAAGTGTGATTAGACAGACAGACAGACAGTCAGATAGATAGATAGATAGATAGATACATAGATAGATAGGTAGATAGATAGATGGAGACTATCTGGTCAGCTGATTATCATTTGAAAAAAAAGGATATTGTTAAGTTTAAACAATCCAAAATATTATGAAATATTATATCAAGTTTGGAGTAGGAGTAGTAGCTAGGAATTTTGACAAAAACCATTAACTCAAGCTTTTACAATATCAGCATATTGGCATAAAAAACATCTCTGATCTCCAGTTAAGTCATTTTACAATCTTAAAAAAAGATTATGTTTTATCATTCATAGTCAGCTTTGAGGGGAAACTAGCTATGGTGTCGCTGCATGTTAATGGCGTAAAGTAGCAGCTTCTTGTTATGTTTGTGTGTCTACTTTCCTTGCAGTCTTTATATAGTCATTTACAACACACTCTAGCAAATAATCACCAACAAGTGCACATTTATTTAACATGAAGAAGAAAGAAATGTCTAATTAAAGCGAATTCAGGGTTTGCTTGGTGGGGAAGTTTTGCGTCATATGTTAATCATAACGAAATCATGCAAATGTCTTAAAGTCCTAATTATAGTATATTTTCTCCTTACATTTTATTTTCCATTCACTGCAGTTTTTACTAGGCATGAATATTATAACCAGTGTTGCCAAGTCTGCAGTTTTCCACATAATTATATATATACTCTAAAACAACTGTAAATAAAGGACAAATCACAAGTGTTACATGTCAGGAAACCTTTTTTATATTTCATATTTATATATTTTGTATTGTATTGTATTATTAAATACATTTATTTTTATTTATTTATTTATTTCCACTTTAGAGATAGTGTTCAGATAATGTTCTTTCCACCGCTGCAGCTGAGATACTGTCTGCAGCTGTTTTTTTTTTGTTTTTTTTTGGTGTGGGTTTGCTGTGAGAGGCATTGTTTGTTTAATATCTGTCAAGACCAGGAAGAAGCGAATAACAGATAGGAAACTTGCTTTAAGAAAACACACCATGACAAGCAGCAGCTGCGGCCCTCCTATAAAAACACACAGTGAAGCCATTATGGCATACAAGGGGACAAGAGTAGCATGTGAGGTCTT